AAACTTTATTAATGCAAATGAATAAAGAAGGGGGCTGGTAGCCTGAGCCTCAAAGCTACATCAGGAGAAAATTTTCTCTAGAAACCATCCAAAAAGAATTAAAATAAACAAAAAAAGAAATTTAAGAAATATACCAAGAAATTCTCTAAGATGGTTTTTGGAGATTCTAGTAGGGTTGTGGGGTTGTGTCTCTTATATAATATTGTTTCTTTGGGCCTATGTTGATAGAGATAGATAAATAAAGAGAGAGAGAGAGAGAGAGAGAAGTGATATGTGAAAGATGATGATCCAATGATCATATTGTGCCAAAAATCCCAGCAAAAAAAGAGAGAATTTCAAAAAATTCATAAAGCCCTAGTGTACTGTTGAAATTGCACAAATGATAAAACCGATTTTTCTCATTGGACCGATTGGGTTCTTGGACCATGAAAGATCAGATCCTTTTAGATTAAGGTTGAGTGCATTACCTGATATTAAAATTCATAAATTCATATTTCAATGTGGTGTTCACACCCAAGCTTGTAGCCTCTTGCTAATACTGCAACAAGTTGAAAATGGCACAATTCTATGTTTGCAGTCTTAGATTTCTTCTCCCAAAAGTACAATAGCAAAAGTCTAACATTTGTAACGTTTTTGGGTGATTTTCTTGACCCAAAAAAGGTTGAAATAATGCTTGAACCAATGGATATGACTCAAGTCAAATGGGGTTCAAAACCCTAATTTAAGTATCTCACAATAGAGGGATCGAACTCAAATAGTAGAGAGGATAAAGCATGGTACATTAGGTGATACCCTCTCATTCTTCTCTGTTTATAGACTTCGAAGGGATGCAAGAGCCCTCTCCTAATCTGTTTACAACTCCTATTTCAATTAGGATGAGATTAAAGAGAGTCTAGTTCTCTTAAATCAGCCATTAAATAGGTATATATCCTTAAACTAATCAAACTAGTCAAATCCTATTCTTATTAAACTTGTCTAGCACAAAGTTTGACTAGAACTCTTATGCAAAACTCTTAATTATTTATTAGAATGCTATTATTTTAAAAAAGTATTTATCTAATTAGGAAATTACAACTTGTATGGTGTGGAACCCATAACTTAATAGGAGAGCTAACATGTCACATATTTTATATAAGCTAGTGGAGTCGGCCACTTATGCTTTAATTAGACATTATATGCTAATTCAACCATAGCTGTTCATAGGCTTAAGTGATCAAGACCATTAAGTGTGTAAAAACTTAAAATCAATTAAAACATACCATCCTAAAGGCCCAAGTCTTTTGGTTCAGCCCATATGTGATAATTAAGTCAATGCTACCAAATTAATCACTTGCAATCAATCTCTTTGCTATAAACACTTGACACCACATTTAGGAATGACTTTTTCCCTCTTTGTCCTTATGATATGATATCCAACTTCCAACATAATTTGATTCTTCATTGACGATTCAAACAATCCTCCTACTAGTAGATTTAGGACTCCCTAGTAGGAAGTTGTATAAAGTGTTCTCCATGTTCTAATATAGTAGCAAATCCGACCACATTAATCATTGGTTGACATATCATCCTTGAATGCCCCAACATACCCAAATATTTGGCTTTGAAGGGATCTCACTAATTGGTATATCAAAGACAAACAAGTTCGATACTTAATCCGATGTCAATATCAAGCCTAGGGATTTAAATGCAACACCCAATTATTCCACCTATTATAAAGTCTAGGAACATGCTAGGTTTTGGTTCAATTTAATGTTTCATGTAAACACTCATCCTCATACCTTAGGTCATAACCTAAGCAGCTGAGACCCACTACTCTACTACCTTAAGCATTGTAAAATGATAACCTTATCAAGATAGGCTTCCCCAAGTGTATCCACTGATTGTGCAGTTTTAAGTCCATATTATAACAATCATCTGATTTCATACATGATACTTGTGTGAACTAAGGGTATTTAGTAGAACAACCCAATGACACGTGAAATGAATATCCTTTTTATTCATAAGAAAAAGTATGTACAATACATCAGTTGGAGTTGAGAGCATACAGACTATTTACAATATGTTTATCAAAAAAAGAACAAAAAAAAATAGAAGAAGAAGAAGAAGAAAAAGAAGAAGAAGAAGATGTGATTTGTTACAAGTTGAA